TCACAAGAAGTCTATCAAATGATAGCTCAGCACAAAGAGGTCTGTGCGATGATATTAGAAACGCCAAGTACTGAAGTAGAAGATCAACTAGCACAAATACAGGAAGTACAAAAACTTAGAGAATATGCAAATGATCTATTACTAGAAATAGATGAAAGAAGAGAACAATGGTCAAAAGAAGTTGACCAAAAGAATAATGAAATACCAATAGTAGGTTCAGGAACAGGTTATGAGATAACCTATAAAGAGCCAGAAATAGTTGACTTAGTAGAACAATTAGGACGAATGACATTAGGACCAGCAAATGAAAAACCACTTGATTAGGATCAACAACAACTTAACAATAAAATGTTAAAGGAAACAATTGAAACAATAAATCAGTTTGAAAATGAGATGTTTCCAGAAGCAGAATCTAGCAAAAAAGGAAGTTATTCAACAATGAAACCACGAACTATAATTAGAAACAAGCTTAGCAATTGGGAACAAATGCTAAAAAGCAGAGAACAGGTACAAGATCCAAAAATAGAAGAGAAATTTGATCAATTAAAACAGAGATTGAATCAAATTCAACAAACTTATAATTATACTGCAGCACTAACAGATGATCAGTTAAAAGAACATCTTGCGTTAAAACAAAAAGTAACTACAGGAATAAACCCAAAATTAGTAGAAACAAAAAGATAACATATTTTTGAAATATTGAATGATGTTTCAAAAAGAAATGATGCATCCATATTCGCATTAAGAGGAGCTATAAACGACATGCTTGACGAATATGAAAGAGATACAAATCCAGCAATCACTATAACCAATGAACAAATCTTATTTTATTTTTTAATAGTAGTCCTAAAAACACAGAAAATCTTAGAGATGCACAATGCAAATTAAACTACCAAAAGGTATATGAAGTTCTTTTAGACATTTGAACCCGGTAGAACTTCACATATCTTGCGTAGAAACATTTACTTGAATTAAAAAATGCAATAACCTACCTTATTACAATTTTAAAAATTTTATCAGAAAAAGATGATAAAGATGACACTGACTATTTAGAACAAATTAACTTGACAGAATTAGAGTGGAGGTAATTTTATTATTTTTTTATTTTTTTATATTTTGTTAATTAAATTATTCTATTTTTATAGTTTACTTTCAGATATGTTAACTATATTAGCACCTTTTTATGAGGCTACAAAAATGTTATCAGGGGTTTCATATGCTATGCTTAATATGGTTAGTTGTACTATGTACCATCTTAAAAAAACTATAGCTCCGCCAAATAGTAAAGATGAAGACTATTATGCAGAATTGCTATATGGAGAATTGGATATCACTACAAGTCAAAGTTCACCAACTGACATACCTTCGGATAATAAAATTGTTGAGTTAGCAGTTCGTGCTGAACAAGCTCTTAATATATCTCATGGTCATGTTCAAAAACATAAAAATACATCAGTTAATAGTCAGCAAAATTCTGATTTATGATTTAAAAAACATCAAGCTATTGAACCACCAGTTACTATTGTAAATATGTTGGAACAAGTTAAGGCTATGATTTATCTAAGCATGTCCCAATACTGGGATGTTCCAAAAGAAATTACTTTACTTTTAGCATTGTTGGATCCCTGATACAAGAAGCTCAAGTTTGTTACAGAAACTCAACATAATATAGCAGTTGATAAGCTAAATGAGCTATATCGAATTGAACAAGCTATCATTATAAAAGAGTCGAATGATAATCTATCTAACAATTTACCTGAATTATCACTTACGAACAAACCATCAAATGTTAACCAAGTTAATTATTCTTTACTCGGACTATCTGATGATTCAGATGAAGAGGAAAGTAATATGTCAAATGAAGTTTTCCACTACTTAGCTCTACCAAAAGAAGCTCAAGAGTGTAATGTACTAGAATGGTGGAAGGAACGAGTTAATATTTTACCAGTTTTATCTAGATTAGCAATAAAATACTTATCAATCTCTGCCACTTCTGTACCAAGTGAAAGGTTATTTTCTGATGCCAGCCTTCATTTATCTGCCTGTCATTCTTGCTTAAAACCAGAGTTGTTAGCATCTATGTTGGTTTTAAAAAGAAACATAAAATTATTTGATGTTTTTGACTTAGAGGATAAAAGTAATTAGATTTTGATATAAGTTTACTCAAAGTTTTTTTTAGT